AGGCACGCTGGGAGACTTCTAGGGGATCAAGACATATTGCCTGTGTACTAAGCATACTATATATGAATGTGTTGTAGATACACTGTTTTCTCTACACAAAGTTTAAAATGGATTCTGCAGGTGCCCGCGCTGGTGGGAATTTCAATCACTAGAATTTGTTTGTTTTCTATATTCTTTCCAGGAAACTTCTTTTCCTCTGCCTGGCACCTGCCCATATTAATTTAGGGCAGAGTTTTAAACCCTGGGATACTTTCTCCCGCTGATAACCAGGGACAAAGAGACATTCCCTTAAATATTACCCCAATTATTGTGATTTGAAGGAGCCAATTAATCATTTCTTCTTTGATTTTTTTAGAGACAGTGGTTTCTCCTGTATTCATATATAACTTCTTAATTTGTATACTAGAAGAATAAGTAATTTTGCTCTGTTTTCATTTCCTTTCAACATTTCTGTTGCCTATGCTGTTGGAGAAACTCATTATGTCCCAGACTTTACTTGGAAGAGAGGACTTGTTTTGCTCTATGAACCACACTGTATCTGGGGCACTGAGCAACCTAAGAATTTTCTGTGATTTGACACTGTTCTACAGCATATCACAGTTTGCATGAATAAGTGATAGGGGATTCCTTTTTGCTATTTTAGTGGGTAGAGTTAAGGATAACACTGATTTTGGTGTAAAATAATTTTAATATCTTCTATTTGGGGGTAGAATACTATTTATCTCTTAAGTGGAGAGGGCAAAAGAGGTAAAAAAATTAATCATTTCCTCTTACTGATACATTGCTAACCTATTTCCTTAGATTGCTTTGCCCTTTTTTTTTTTTAAGATTTTATTTATTTATTTGAGAGCGAGAGAGCACATGAGTGGCGGGGAGGGGCAGATTGCTTTTCGTTCAGGAAGTCCATTTGGACCTGAGCTAATTATTTTGCAAGCAGGATGTTTCTGCAATCTGTGAAAATTCTGTATTCATTACTTCTCTGTGCCTCAGAGACTACTGCAATTTGCCTTAGAACGTGCACAACTTTTGTCATCTTCAAATCTAGTTTATATTTGTTGGCTGTACAAGAGAAGCAGAACCAAATCATTTTAGTATTGGAAGGAAACTCATTTAATTCATTCCCCTTTGCAGTGCTGGAATTCGCTTCACAAGATGCTATTGCTCTGAATCTTCCCCCTGAGAGAGAAGCAGTAACTCTACCAAGGCTCAGTGGTTTTCTGATCAAACACACAAACTTTTCTCTTGGATTCAGTTGACCTTTTTTTGAAACTTGAGAAAAATTTGCTTAGTTATTTGATATGTAAAAATAACTGAACATTTAAATAACTCATATTAAGGAGTTTCCTTCACACATCAAAATGATTAAATTATTTAGGCACTTGGACTAATTTTGGTATTTACTTTGCCAACATTCTGTGTTAAAATTCATTAAAGCTCTGGGTTGGTAGCTATGGGAGGGAGAGGACAGCGTTTGACTTGCTAACCTGCTTATCACTGACCTTCTGAGGTATCTTGATTCTGCTCATTAATTTTTAAAATTGAGAAGAAACACTTCATACAGCTGGGGCTTTTAATTTGCAAGGAACAGAAGTTGCCTCTGAATAACTTATACCAGAAAGAGGGAGATGAGGGAAAATCTGAAGAGCCAGGTCTGAGGAAGGCGGCATTCAGGGGACCCCAGTGACTCATCCTCAGGACTGTTCCTGCACAAAGCATCCTCCCCCGCTTTTGGCTACCTGTTCTCAGGGTGCCTGGACACACTGGGTATCTTTTGGCAGTTTGGGGCTTCTTTTGTTTTCAGGCTTATTGGGAGCCCAGCTGCCTTCTTTGTTTTTCTCCCACAAATATATTGATTTAAGTCTCAGAGCTGGTAGTGGTTTCCTCTCCTCGTTCATATTTTGGGTTTGTTGGAATGTTTCCCAGGGCGGGGAGTGATACTCAGGTTTGCTGTCTTACTTGCACTGTCATTTTTTTTATGGGGAGAGTTAAGGAGATTGGAAAATTCTGTCAGAATTCTCTCCTGTTTGTTTTTCAGTCTACTGAATCTTGAGTTCCATTCCATTTTGTTATTTATTTGTAAACTTCCTCCTATGTAATCTTGCAAGACATTTGTTTATGTTATCGGTCTTCTCTATTATGTCATTGTATTCTATTTCGTTTTGTGGATTTGTCGTGTAACTTCCTGCTTTCCTTTGTTTTCTGCTATTTTTACATTTAAATTCGTGATTTGCATGTTTATCTCCTTGATTTACAGTTTTTCTTTTTTTTTAAGATTTACTTATTTATTTGAGAGAGAGAGGGGTGGGGGAGGGGCAGAGGGAGAGAGAGAATCCCAAGCAGACTTCTCACTGAGTGCAGGCCCCTCGCAGGGCCTGATCCCACAACCCTGAGATCATGTCTCAAGTCGAAATCAGGAGTCGGATGCTTAACTGACTGAGCCACCCAGGCGCTCCTCAGTTTTTCTTTTTAACGTAAACATTTGAAGTTACAAATGTTCCTGTAAGTATGATGTTTGCTTTATCTCACAAGTTTTTATATTTTTTCGTTATTTAATCTCGTATTTTCAGGACACCTGTCTGGCTCAGTTAGTAGAGCGTGTGACTGTTGATCTCAGGGCTGTGAGTTGAAATTTGCTCTGTGGTCTACTTTCTGGGCATGTTTTGTAAATGATCAGTGGATGCTTAAAAAGAGTTTTTGAATATACTTAACAGGTGTAAGGGTCTGTGTATTGCATGAGATCAAGTAAATTATTCAGCTCCTTATTCTTTATCTGCTTGGTCTGTGAATTCCTGAAAAAGACTTTATATCTTTCTATAGGTATGACTAATACTTACATGGTACTTACTATATTCCAGGCACTATTTTAAGGGCCTTAACATGTATTAACTTACTGTGTTGGTCATTTTTCCCTCAGATCTGTTACTTGTTCTTATATTTTGAGACTGGGTATATTTGTCACTAGGTTCCTACACCTTGGGGATCGGAGTCTCTTATCATTGAGTATTGACTTTATTCATCTCTGACAAGATCTTTAACTATAAAGTCCTTTTTTTCCCCTGAAATTGATGTAGTTACACAGGCTTTTTCTCAGGTTAATATTTGCCTGGCATATCGTTTTCATCCTCCTTTGTATGTCCTTTTATTTGAAGTGTGTCTCCTAAAAAGCCAGTGGGTGGATTTTTTTTTAAATGGTTTATTTATTTTGGAGAGAGAGAGAGAGAGAGCATGAGTGGGAGGGGCAGATGGAGAGAGAATCTCAGGTAGACTCTGTGCTGAGTGCGGAGTCTGACCTGGCACTTGATCTCACGACCCTGAGATCACAACCTGAGCCAAAGCCAAAGTTGTTCGTTTAACCAACTTCGCTGCCTAGGCGCCCCGTGGTGGATTTTGTTTGTATCCATTTTTATCCAAGAGCGGTAATATGGTTGATGGTCAAAGCCAAGAACTTGAAGGCCAGATTACTGGGTTTGCATTGTTGCCTGGGGTATTGATATGTGGCGGCTACAATTCTATACTTGGTGAAGGGAGGCATTTTGGCTTCCCTTTACTTAGATTTTAACCTCTCCCTGTGTTTTATGTTCCATGTCTGACCCTCGCTGTCCCAGAAGTGAAGGTATGTTTAGGTTCCTATTCTCTTTAGGATTCTTGCTTACCCTTTCAGTATCCCTACCACCTGCCCTTTATGGTGTTTGCACTGCTCTTTACTTTTTATCTCTTGAAAATGAATTAAAGTATCTGTAAAGTTGTCATAATAAGAATGCTTACTTATAGGACTGTTTGAAAGTAAGTGTAAGTCATAGATGTAAAAATCTATGAAGAGTACCTGGTGCATTAGAAGTGCTTAGAAGGATTTGTTCTTGTTCTGTTACTAATAGTAATATTACAGTTTGACTTTTAATGCTCTTGGGTACCCTCTATTTATCCACAGTCCTTCCTGCCTTTTGTTTGTCACTATTAATTTTATCATCACATTTATTCTTTTTATTGTATAATTCAACTTTTTCATTTTTGCTTTTTTGTTACACAGGTGATTTAGGGGGATGTATCTTTAGAGCATCTCAATTCAGGATGTCTAAAGTAACTGGATTTAATGGAATTTTAAAATCATTTTCCAGAAGGAGTATATTCATAATTAAACTATATGATAAGTTAAGACTTACAAAATTTTTATATTTGAGGAGTATAGAATACTTCAACTAGTTGATGGGACTGGATTCTGTATTTCATATGGAGAGTTAAAACCTCTATGGAGTAAAATTTTTGCTCTCAATGGGAATCTCTAATTTTAATTTATTTTTTTATTCAAATGAACATTAGTGGTTGTAATGTGCAGAACAAAGTGAATGTACTTAATGCCATTTGCTAAAAAACAAAATTCAACTGAGTAAAGTTTAAAGATCTTATTGGCTTTATTTAGTGGTTCATGATTTGGGCAGCACCCAATGTAGCAGATAGAAACTAGCCCTGAGATGCTGTACAAAATGAAAGACTTCTCTAGGCAGAGAAAGCAGCAACAAGAAAATTATACTAGGTGAAAAGTGAGTTACTTTCCTTAGGGGAGAGGAGGGGTCTACCAAGCAGGTTACCTAACTAGTACCCGTGATTGACTGGTGTAAGATTTCATTTTTGGAAGAGCCAAAACTGTAGTTAAGTCTCAAACATGATAATAGGGCTTAGGAAAAGCGACTCCATTTTGAGCCTTGACTTTTTAACTTTTTAATACACACTGAAGTATATATTTAAAAATGTTTAAAGTGGTAAATATTATGTTACATATTTTTCACCACAATTTAAAAAAGGGACCATTAGCTGTTATGTCCATGTCTCACATTGAAGATGAAAGAAGATGTTTATCAATGTGAAAATCTGAATCTTACAGGAGCATACAGTGGGGTGAGCAGAACATATTGGCATCAGTATGTTGATTTATGTTTCTTTCTTCAAGCATATATGGTTCTCACTCATTTCCTAATGTGAATTTTTTTTTTTTTTTTTAACAGGAAGGAAAAGCTGATGCGGTGTTCTCAATGCCGAGTTGCAAAATACTGTAGTGCTAAGTGTCAGGTAAGAATGTTCAGCTACAGGGGCGCCTGGGTGGCTCAGTTGGCTCAGCTCAGGGTCTTGAGATCGAGTCCCTCGTTGGGCTCCCAGCTCAGCGTGGAGTCAGCTTGTCCCTTTCTCTCCGCTCCTTCCTCCACATGCTCTCTCTCTTTCTCTCTCTGAAATAAATGAATAAATAAAAAGAATGTTCAACTCTATGTAAGTGAAACCTTCAAGTTCTCTGCTCTTAATTTGTGCTCCATTATGCCCATTGGCCTATTTCTGTTTTGTTTTGTTTTTTATAATCTTTGATTTATTTTAACTTATTTTCCTTTAATTTAAAAATTAATGTGTATGGTAAAGTATCATTTATATGATATATATATATAAACTAAATACGTAATATCCATATATCATGAAAAAAAATGTTCACTCCTATCTTCTTGTCCTCCTGACCTCAGTCCATTGTCCAGAGATACCTAGTTTCTTAGGTCTTTGCAACATTTTCTACTCCTAACACATTCGAATATTTATTCTCTTTGTTAGAAAAACAGAGATGGGTTATTATATACCTAAATTCTCCTTTTCATTTTATAACCTGTCCAGAGGACCCTTTGGTCTCATCCCACTGATTCCATTACATGAACACACCACAGTTGTTACTTCTTCTTTAATGAATGCTTAACTTTTTTGGTATTGCCAGTTATGGACCAAGCATCTTTTTGTACACATTTCTGCACACTTCACAAATTAGTTGTAGGGTAAATTCTTCCCAGCTGTATCGATGAGTAAAAGGATACATGATTTTGAATTTTTAAGGATAGTGCCAAATTGCGTTCCAAGAGTTTAATTTAGGACAACTGACAGAGAGTCTGTGAGATTACCATTGTTAATGTCTTTGAAATTCTTTAAAGGGTGTATAATTAACATTCAACATAAGCTTTTCTTCTAACCTTATGATTAATCATTTTATAAGAAATGTAATTATGCTGTAATGAATTGCATCATAATAAAGTAATTGGAGGTTTTGTGTCTGTGTCACTTGCTCTCAACCTTCCACCCATCATTTTTGTTTCTTGGTCTGTGTGTGTGTGTGTATGTGTGCACGCACACACGGACACCTAGTGTTCCTCTTTTCCTTTTTCGGCATCTAGGCTATGCTTATCTGAGGGAGTTTCACTCTCTCACTTTCTCCTATGAAAGTAATTTCTCCAGACTGCAAATAGAGTGATCTTAAGAGAGAAGAAACCTAAGCAAACAAGCATACAAATTAATCAGACGACCCAAGTTCTAATGACCGTTGTGCCATTAGCTCATTAAATTGTTCCGAAGAAAGCATGGTAATTCTCTGGGCCTCAGCTTCCTAATCTGTACTACTAATAAGAACTAATATTTACAAGATCTCTCCTGTGTGTCAGGTACTGTTTTATTCTGTTTACTCCTATATGAATCTTGGGAGATTACTACCATTGTGCTTGTTTTACCAGTCAGGGGGCTGAGCTACAGAATCTTAAGTAACCTGCCAAACATCCTATACCTAATAGGCCCTGGAATTTGGATCCAGAGTTCTAATTTCTCTTCTAAGCCCAAATTTTATTTTTGTTCTAACATTCTGATTAGGTGTAGCTTTCTATTTCCTGTGGTATTCACATTTTTTCCTGGCTTTTGTTTTGTTTTTAATAAGGGTGCAACTCAATCCCCAAGGAACACAAAACAAAAAATACTAAAATAGAAGGTTTGAAGTAACACTTCCCTAATAAAAATAGGGAATGTGAAAAATAATTGGATTGTTTTTGCCTCATTTTGTAAAGCAAAAATTCTGCAACAGAACGATACGAGATTTATGTAAGATCATTAGTAATAATAATAAGAAAAAGGAAATTATGAAAACAAAGCCATCCTTTTTTCTACAAGATAAATTCTAGATAGACTATTTTATGGTGATGTTATCTATCTTATTCATGTGAAACTGAGATTCGTTTCAAGGAACTTCTAATTAAGAAGACTATGTATAGAACCGACAAATTACATATATCTTCTGGATGAACTTTCTTTCCAGTTTCAATGACCTAAACATTTACTTTTATTTTCCCCAGTTTTTATGTTTTTTCTCCAATGCTACTTCCTCCTTTTGTAGTACACTCAAGGCAAAAAAAAAACATTATTTGATTAGAATGTGTTGAGGGAGTTTGGTGGGTGGGTATGTCATTTTGATTCATTGTGGTGCATGTCCTTTGATCACATATATTAACTGTTTACTGTAGCATCAATAATAATGTCATCGTCAGATAAACTGTAGAAAGTAATGGGAAAATAGCTAGTAAGATGGAAGATATCATATATAAGCCAACTAGGGCATATGCTTGTATGTGTGAGGGGGATGGGGTGTGTGTAGAGGCGGGATGGGAGTCAAAGATTGGCCAGAACATACGCATTTAAACTGCCCTGTTTAGCTTACCCTTCAGGTACAGAATTAAGCATTGTAATTATTGTGGATTCCTACAAAGCAGCACAAAATTAAACTGACAAACTGAACTATGAACAGTAATGAACAGGAGGCAAATGCCCTCGGAATGGAAATTGATATAGAGGATGTGAATTTGTAGCATAAAATCTATAATATATTTGCCCCGGAGGGACATAACTTTGGTTCATTAGCTTAGCATTTGATGTGTGGGGCCATGGCATCAATGAGTCGTGTGAGGGAGGCTATTGAGGTATTATGAGGCGTGATATCCCTCACGCCCATAAGGGTGGATTCAGTGTTACTGGTTTTCACGTTTCATTTTTAAACAGAAAATTAAAGTAAGAAGAGTGAATGTTTCCTCCAGCTTCCTTCCCCATTCCTACTTCTGTTTTCTAGAGGTAATCTCAATGTGTTTGTTTTGTGAGTGGAGGGTACGCACAAAACTGTTCATCTACACTTCATACCTAGTGTACACATATATGTATATATTGACTGCTATGTTCACTATTGTTTCTTACACTGGAGAGTGTTTTGTCATCAGTGGCTTTGTAATTCCTCTGTGGATACCTTATTATGATGTGTCGTACAATGCGATAGAGGGCTTATATATGGGAACTAGTCTGATTTCTGTATAACCAGAGCATCATAGGTGATTTTGAAATGAAAGAGGAGGAGTGGGCTAAGTTTTCTTTTAAAAACGCATGCTCAGGGGCACCTGGGTGGCTCAGTCAGTTGAGTGTTTGCCTTTGGCTCAGGTCATAATCGCAGGGTCCTGAGATTGAGTCCCACATCGGGCTCCCTGCTCCGCGGGAAGCCTGCTTCTCCCTCTGCCCCTCCCCCTAGCTCATGCTTGCATGTGCGCACGCCCTCTCTCTCTCTCAAAGAAATAAAATCTTAAAAAAAAAAGCACACTCAAAATTTGCAATGTTGCTAACAAGTAAACCAATTTCAAGCAAATTCACTAATTATTTTACTTCTTCTGGATTTAACTTGCTTCATAATATCTACATTTCTGATTGAATTAACTGCTGAGCAAAATAAGCAGCTGCGTACTGTACCAAATTACAATTTATATACTTTTAAAAAGTATTAGCAGGGAGAGGGTCTGTTTTATTTAGTAATTATAGACCTCTTTAAAAATGTGAGTCTTGGGTACCTGGGTGGCTCAGTCTGCCTTTAGCTCAGGTCATGATTTCATGGTCCTGGGATTGAGCCCCGCATCGGGCTCTCTGCTTAGCAGGAAGCCTGCTTCTCCCTCTCCCACTACCCCGGCTTGTGTTCCCTCTCTCGCTGTGTCTCTCTCTGTCAAATAAATAAATAAAATCTTAACAAAAAAATAAAAATGTGAGTCTTATTTGTGGGTTTACACTTTATGTTTAGTTATAGAATGATCTGATTTATTTGTGATGAATCTAGTATTAGTCAGCACTAACAGGACGATTTAATAAGTTGGGGTCTAGAATATAACACTCAATAATGGTAATAATGGAGAAAACCAAGCCCTTTGTTTCATAAATAGTTCTTTGCCAGGCTTCAGACTGATAGGACATTAACTGAGTATTCTGTAGGGAAGTTGGCTTCATATCTAATTGTAAATAAAAAGAATACCGTGTAAAGGTTGAAATTATTTGATCATATTTAAGTTTTTGACTTCTATCAACATCTGGGGCCCCAAGCTTGTCTTTGCTCACTTTGCATTCACCTGCTGAGTGGTCCCATCTGCTCCCATGACTTCAGTTGGCATCTGTACATTAATCATTCTTGAGACTCCATCTCCAGCCTTCTCCTTTCTCCCAAGAACCAGACCCATGCCTTACGGGGTACCTCTACTTTGGTGGTGCACCCATATCTCAAGTGCCATATAGCAGGACCTCAGTGCATGATCTTTCCCCAAAACTGCTTTTGTTCTCGATTTTCAACCGCAGTGAATAATCCACCAACCACCCAGCAGCCTGAGTTGTCAGGCTGGAATCATCTTCAGTTGATGTCCTTTCTTGGCCCCATGCCCAGTTAATCAACATGTCCCGCTGATTTTACTACTTAAGATCTAAGTTGGTTCACTTCTCTAGTTTCTTCACCAGCTCTTGTGTGCATGTGCCTCTGACTTCTCTGCTACGCTGACTGCAGTCTGTGCTCCTGCCCCCTCCTTTCCTCCTTCCTACATGGGAGCCAGAGCGATCATTTTGTTCTAGCGTGTGAGCATGGCCATCACTCGCTAGCGGAAAGCCCTGGCCCTGTTCCTCAGGATGAAATTCAAGCTTGTGGATTTTGCTACGCTTTTACTTCTGAGCCTTTGACTATGTGAGTCCTTGGGCTTGGACCCAGACCTGACCCCCTACCTACTGAACTCCTTCTACTTATCCTTTATAACCCAGATTAAATGTCACTCCCTCCTTTCCTAAACTCCCAAGACTAGTTTGTGTCCCTCCTTATTCACACAGAAATTATCTTTTTTTTTTTTTTTAAAGATTTTATTTATTTATTTGAGAGAGAGAGAACGAGAGACAGAGAGCAGGAGAGGGAGGAGGGTCAGAGGGAGGAGAAGCAGACTCCCCGC